ATTGATGTCAATAGGTTAGATGCGCGGGGATGTGCTCTGTGTGTGAATTGTTTCTAAGGTAGGCAAGTTGTTGACCAACAAGTTGATGAAACAGGAGTATCGGCAGTCCCGTTAAAGTATTTGTTTCGTGAGTTTTGTGATCGATGCAATGACCTTGTTAGCAATTAAATGCAGTTTGTGGTTGGGTCAAACGCTGACTAACGTTTTTCGTACTGATTATTAAGCCGTTATTTACACACTGAATTTTCGATGGATCTGTCCATTATTCCCCGATCATGACAAGGAGTACACGACGGGTGTGAATTCTCAATCCTCTATCGCACGTGAAAAAGCAGGGAAAACTTTTCAAAAGCATTTTCTAGCAATTAAAGCCATCCTTAGTCAATAAGTAATTAAGATATTGTTTGATTTTTTATTATGACTGGTCTTTCATGAGTTAATACAATCCATGTGAAAGTAGCCCGTGCTTCTAAAAAATAATTCAAAAGTGAAGATAACGGACAGGGATCGATCTCATAAAAAATACAAAAAATAGAGTTCTGTAAACTTTGCATTAAAACACGAAACCCTGAAAATTCCACAGGTGGGATCAGGTGCCTAGAGGAGTACACTTCCCCTTTTGACCGCCACATCCGCCGTAAGCCCTATGTATTGATAAGGTAGATGGAACATTCCGTGTTCAAAAATAATATAAAAGTAAAGATCTAAAATTGTTATAAAACAGATCAGCCAAAATCAGGGTTAGTGATAGTTTATTTCTTATCAATGTCATTTTAATAAAAGAAACAGGATTTAGGAAATGCTGACTTTAAATGAGGTTGTTGAAATCCCTATAAATACCAATGAACGGCCTCGGCCAAAAAAAAAGATTTGACTCAGGGCATACTCTTGAGTAGTGAATAAATTAGGATATATAAACACCATATGGATAATGCAGTAGATTATGGAGTTAATACAGAAATAAGGAAAGATGACGATGAATAAGTCGGTTACCTCATTCGTCATACAGTAAAGTTATTAGATGGTCTTTGTCGTCTTTCGTGACTAAAACGTTTAAATAAAAAAAAAAGGAAATAAAGGGACATCGGTTGCAGTGTACTTTTTATTATTAATTATCAAGTAATTTGGTATTAACAATTCTGTATCTAACATTCTTTTTACATAATATATAAATTCAAATGCTCCATTTTTTTAACATCTCGTACTCAATATACATGTAGCTTTTTATAAAATGAAAATTAGTACGTAGCAATTTTAAACCAATGATAACAATTATTTATTAGAACTACCTGACACACAGGCTCTCTTATCAGAGGTGAAAAGCAAAGCTTGCTTAGGCACTTAACCCAATAATTGGAATTGTGTGAAATAATTATCAAGGTTAGGGAATTACCATTCAACCAGGCAACGATTAGCTTAGAGATACTTTGGTTCAGATTTAGTACATTGTAAGTAGAATGAACAAAGTTCTCTTGGGGCATTTTTTTTTTGGCCCTGTGATTTTTTTTTAAGTAAAACTCCTTAAATTGTGATGAAAATGCATCAAATGCATTTAGGTCCTATAGGTGTTTGGAAATCAATCTAAAAAAGATATGATTTTCAATTCATTATAACTTCATGAATTTTGTCATTTTACAGATATCCTGAATAAGTTTTTAAAATCAGTCATTTTAAAGCTATATCTTTAACATTTCGCATGAGAGCGCAACCACTGATTTAAATTATGCAATTAATTATTGATAGAACTTTTTTGAAGATAGAAATTTCATTTTTGATGTTAAATTTTTGTACCGAGGAGTACGCTCATGCTTCATTATTATTCAATAAAATTACTCAAATAAGCCTGTTTAATTTTTAAAACGAGGTAAATTATTGACAAATAAGTTGATGAGACAAGAATATCAGCAGTCTCGTTTAAAGTCATTCGTAAGTTCTATTGTCGATACAACTACTGACCTTATCTGCAAATACAATTTATCATTGAGTCAAATGCTGACTGACGTTTTTCATCTTACTGTTAGTCCAATATTTATACACTGAATTGACGATGGATTTTTCCGTTATTTCCCGATCATGACAAGGAGCACACGGCGGCTGTGACAGGTCGGCTGGAGATGCTCACTCCTCCATGGCACTTGGATCCCACCTCTGATGTTTTGGAGGTACGTGTTTGCTCCGCTCCCATTTTGTATTGTTTTTCTGAACTGTTGATCTTGAATACTTTTGTTATCTCCATATGTTTCATTCTTTAGTAATTTAAGAAGCATAAAATACATGTATGATCATTTCATTCGCCACAGCCTCGCCAAAAATATAGTTCTTTTATTTCAAATTCATTTTTCCACTTCTATTCAATGTTTACAATCATCAGGGGAAAATAGAAAACTATGGTAAATCCCCTTCATGTTTTCATTTAGGTTACACTGTTCTTTTTCAAATGCGATAGAAATCATGTGCTTTATAGTAGATGTGCAAAAAGAAGTTATTGGACGTTAAGTTGTGTTCATGCTTTCTACGTTCTTCAGAGAGGAACATACATGTACTAGTAAATAAAATGTTGCAAGCGAACTAACCCACATTGTCGTATGTGAATTTTAATTCCCTTTGAAAAAGTCACGCGCCATGCCTTTAAAAAAGCCAATGAAAATGATGTCTAGATCTGAAGAAATGCTCTGATCAATAGAACCAAAATTTGTAGTAATTAAATCTAGGAAAAAAGTTCGTTTTATTAATGGCTTTAACCTTGAAGCTATTTCAAATAGATCTGTCTTCATTCAAAAATGGAGTTGTTCGATATAAGTAATGGAATCCACGCGACGAAGACTTAGTACGTTTCCGATTCTCTTCCCAATCTTATAGTCTTAACCCACTCCCTGTTCTGAAAGTTCTATTATAATTACGAACGTAGGGAAACCATAAAAAGTCCCAAATGAGGTCTACCATTATATGTTAATTCAAGACGTGGCAATTTTCTTCTCTATTTACCGCAGCTTGATAAGCTCTATCTTGAAATGCCCCCTTGTCTCTAAAGTAATCACGGACAATTCAGAACCTTCCAATAAAGTATGGAATTCCAGGAGAGGGAAATTAACAATACTTTGTGAAAGTTATTTACATATATGTTTTGACAGTGCTTATTGAATTTTATTCACCTGTTTCAATTAACAATATGAATTTTTCTTTAATTAAGTTGCAGTAGACTTCTAGAGCCAGAATAGTGGAGCACATTGCTGGGTCCATTTCATAAAACTAACTTATGATTTAGATCTGCCTCAAGACCGAAAATTTGTGTAATGCTACGTCATAGCAACTTCGAAACAGTCTCGTATCTTATGATATTCTAAAGATCTATCATACCCTTATAACTACTAGATGTCAGACTTTTAAGTCTAGAACATAAATGGTGCGTTAATGTGTTTTGGCTGATCACCGGTGAATACCCCCCCCCCCTAAAAGAAAGAACTAAATTGAATATGTGATAGAAAGAACAATCCTTAAATATGTAAAGCCATTGAATGGGAGCAATGACAAACCCCAACCCAAACCCAGTAACATTTCTAATAAATATTTTACGACAAAAAATATAAAATGATGTAGCTACATATTATGGTTTTCAATTTATTCTTTGCAAGGCATTTTTTTCTGGTTCAAACTGAAAAACATTATTCTTCCTATGGGCATATAAAAATGCATGTGTACAAGTTTCAGAAATCATTAAATTTAATATTTGAATTCATTCTTATGAGACCTTAATACTCCTCTAGAACATTATATTTTTAAGAATTACCAACTTTGATTACCATTGCATTATGGATATAATGCAATTATGGATATAATGCAATTCGAGATACTTTATTTATGAATATGTTAAGTATTTTTAAATGAATTCTGAACTGAAAAAAAATACGATTGAAGTATTTAAAAGTGACTGAGCTTTTATGACTATGAAATATGTATCCTTCCTCCGGAAAAAAAGGTGTCGGGAAAGCCACCCTAGTTTGTTTGTTTGTTTGTTTTTAATAGACTTTTTGGTTACATTCTAATGATTTTTTCCCCCAAAATAAAAGAAGAATAATTACATATTTACAGAATCATGAGGTAGATTTAGTTTTCGACGTGCGATACAATTTCGAAAACTTTATCATGTAAAATCATATACACTCCCCATCTTAATTGTTAGAAAAAATATATTTTTATATTATTAACATTTAAGTATACTAGATGCATAATTTTTTAACATTTGAGATGGGGAGTACCTATTAGTGTAAATTTTCCAGTCATATGATAAATTCAATTTTCCTATTACGTTGCATAGTTCAATTCTATTTAGAAAAAAAGTGATAATGATAAAAATAAAGAAAAAATAGATAGATAGAATTAAGAATTCACTTTGTGACTTCGTTTAAAGATTGCATGTAAAAGGATTCAATAAATTTTCATGGATCGAAATTGATTTTTTTTTAATCTTCTAGTGATATTTTTTCACTTTTCGAGTCATAAAATTTGAAAGCATTTGGGTAAGTATAGTAAATATTTGCATGAATGAATGAGTGGCACTAATGTTATTTACAATGCACATGTATACTTCAAAACATTAAAGTATAGAAGGCCTCTGCTTATACAAATTAAAACTATATGTATTATAACATTTGTTACACAGTAGTTTTGCTATTATCAATTTATTAATGACAATAAAATTTTACAAACTTTGGCAAGTCCAAAAACGACATTAGTATCCTTACAATATTTAATAAGTCGTGAAATTTGATAACATTAGGGTTAGCGTAAAAAATATTTGGAACAAGTTTTTCGTTCTCTCTTGAAAAAAGCACATTCTACAAGGTAGTGGAATTCACTTCCTAAATCGTGATCGGATCGAAGGAAATATTAGAAGTGCGAGTTACACAACTTTGTTAACTCTTTTGTGTTAGAAGGGGAAAACTAGTTCCGAGTCGTGGCGAAAACAAGCGAGACACTCACAGTCTCACTGACTCAGACAGCAGCTTGAGTCAAGTTTTGGCTAAGCCAGATGTCACAAGAACCGTTTCTTGTCTTGTTCGTAAATCGATAAACATCCAAGATGTATCAAGTAACAGATTTTCAAAGTATGTTGCTTTCCCTTTATTTTAAACCCAGGGAAATTCTACTTTGTATTTCATTCGAATTTCCTCCACCGGTAGATGAGTTATTGGATCTATGATACTCTTTTAAATATTGTGGTTAAATTACAAATTTCAATATTTGGGAATGTGAGGAATATGATTTTGTTACGTCATTGTAAAATATAATTTTATGTTTTTTCTACAGAAATTGGAGTTGGCTTGGCGGGATTTGGTATCGCCTTCCTATTTCTGGGCGTTTTGTTTTTGTTTGACAAAGGATTGCTGGCAATAGGAAATGTAAGATAATCAAGTCTAAGTTTTGTTTTCTTAAAGACATAATTTTACATCTTTTCCTCTGAAATTGAAAGTTATGCCAGCTATAGATTGGATACATATATACAATGAACTAACATACCAATTTGATGGTCTCATATAAACAGGCTTGGACCAATCTCCAACACAGGATTGAATTTCCCAAATGGGTTATCAAGACCCAAACAATCCATCAGTGAATATTCCAAACAGACTTGATACTAATCTTTCCAAATCATTGCACTCTCACTATAGTTGAACTGTTTCTCGTGGACAAGCCCTCACCACAGAATACATCCCTTATAATTGCAATGTAGGAAATCAGAGGGTAGATAGAACATTCTAATTGTTAAAGTGATATTGTCCTACGGCCATGGTTCTACATAAGAAATCATTCCATGTATTCACAATGTAGCAAAATTAACACAGGTGATAAATCAAATTCAGTGCATTTACTATGAATAATCCTGAGAGATCTGCGTGTAAATGCAGCAGGCAAGTTTGAAGCGAGAAAAATGTTGAAGATTGGTTGATTTTTATGTTTCATGTTTATTGATTATTTTTTTTTTGGAAAATGGATTATTTTATGGATAAAAGGCATGTACAATCTCAAACAGGTTTGTTTTGATTAATTTGGTAGTTATTTTTAGTGCAAACCCTTTAATATTCTTCAAAATCATTAACTGTGAGGGCTTGTCCAGAGAGTGGCAGAGACACAGTTAGATTATTCTTACTAATCAGAGTGAATATGCTTCAAAGTGATTTTGAAGAATACAAAAGGGATGCACTGAAAATAACTACATGTACCATAATCAAAACAAACCTTTTTTCCTAAAAAATGATCCATATAAAGACTTGCACGTCATGTTTACATTGGAAACTCTCTGTTTTCTTCATAGTAAATGCAAGTTCCAGTAATCGCCCATGTTTATTTTGCTACATTACCAATACATGGAACAAATTCTAACTTGGTCTGTTGGACATATCATTTAAAGGAATAAGAATAAAACATTCTAATCACTACATGTATATCACCATGTACGGTCATTAACCATGCTTAATAATTTATTGCTGAAAACACACAATATTAACATTATAAACATGTATTTTCTATTGTTTCAGATACTATTCATATGTGGACTAGCTTTTGTCATCGGATTGGAGAGAACTTTCCGATTTTTTTTCCAAAGACATAAATTAAAAGCTACCAGTTTCTTTGTTGGTGGTATATTGATTGTGTTGTTAGGGTGGCCAGTTATTGGAATGTGTGTAGAGATGTATGGATTCTTTCTTTTGTTCAGGTAAGACTGACATCAAAGATGAATCAGTATCTTTATATCAGATCTGAGAATTATTTGTTAACTTATTTGCTATAAGTAGAGAAATATAGTTGTTCATAGTTTTATACATATTGTTTGATTTACATAAAAATACCAATTGCAAAATTAAAACGAAAACTTTTTTTATAAATATGATAAAAATCAAACTTTCTACATTTTTAGTGGATTTTTCCCAGTAGCTGTAAACTTTTTACGAAGAGTTCCAATTATAGGCACCATTCTAGATTTACCATACATCAGAACAGTAAGTACACTGTACATTCACTACATTGAATCTTCAGGCAAACCATTTGTCATGAAAAAGTTTCATGATGAAATATTTTAGCAACAAAAAATGTATACAATGTATATATCAAAGTTGGCCCATTGAATAGGGGAATAACTCAGTGTTCTGTTTTAGATCATTAAAAAAGTTGATATATCCCCCTTTTCTGTGATCAAGCAGTGTTTGACCTGATGCAGCAGTGCCAGAGAAACTATGAAGAGATAAAGTCTTTTTTTGACCTTGCATCATGAATTATCGTATTCGACACAAGCTTGTTCACACTTCTTCCATGATTTTTTTAGCATCATTGTCAGTTTATCTGTTTGTTTCAGCAGTGAGCATGTGTGTGCAGGATAAGCCAAAGCATAATTAACAGCAGTAAATGTTTGCAGGAATAATTATATTTTTATTTTACAAATTTATTAATATCCCCTATCTAGTAAAAACAGATAGAAGCTTAGAGTGTCAGATAAAACATATTTGAACCCGCAGAACATCATCTATTTTTTTTTTTTTTATCAGTACAAACAAAATAGGTCTCAAAGTTATGCTTGAGATTGACCAAAAAAAACTTTTGTGAATGAAATACAAGAAATTTTAGTAGTCAACTGTTTATTCCTTTGGTTTGGAAAAGAGCTACAGTACATAGCCATAAGTGAGTCATAATCGTATTTTTTACACTATACATTTCATTGAAAAAACAATTTTTATAAAAACGTGTTGGAAGTTAGTTTTAGCTCAATTTCCATAATTTTTCCACTGAATCATGCAGAATTGTTCAAATTTCCTTGACTAGAAATGTTAAACAAAATGATACTCAAATCCTTCAGATTGAATTATTAAATTGTCAAGACATAAATGTCTAACCTTAAATTATGATTTATTAACAAATTTTAAAAAGTCTTTAAAATTTTTATCTTCGCACTTGACCTATAATTCCACTATAATGCCTACAAAGTACAGATAAAATTATTTTGAAATATAAATATGAAGAAACGGCAAAGAATTCTGCATTTTATGGTGTTTTAGTCATAACAAGAATAGATATGGGTTACCCCATATCCAAAGATATTCGACTGTTAGATTTAATATGTTTAACAGTGTTTATAATGACGTTAATAAAAAAAAAACTGCACTGTCTAATTATGGAACTGTTGTAAATATCGTGATTCCATAGCATTACGGTCACCTAGTCTCCTAACAAACAGTACACATAGGCCTACATGTACCTGTAGCCTTGGTCTACACACGTGCAATGGAGCTGTCACACGCATCCAGCGAGCTCGGAGAAACACGTTTTGTTTTGCCGAGAAGTTACGGTGTCAGACAAAACTTTTCTTTTCTTAATTAGATCATATAAATACGAATTCTGATTAATAAAAATTATACAATCCCTGTTGAACTTTATATAGTTTGTTCTAACATTTGCATCTGCAACAACTTGTGTTTAAAATGGCCGGGTTGGGAAAATCAGGACCGGGTCGGAAAATTCTAAACTGAAAACATGGAAAACCTTTTTTGTTTTGAAAATAACTGAAATATACTAATATATTTGTCGCAGAAATTACTTACATTATTCAAGTTCTATATATAATGGTATGCTGAACTTCAACACGAACCCGAATCTCCAACCCATGCAGTTCTCGTTTTGCCACACATACCCTTCAGTTTACAAAGTGTACACACGAGCAGGCCAGGGATTGAAAATTCCGTCATTTAATAATACACACACAGAATGATTAATTTTTTCTTTAAGAACAAATTGTATGATAATTAACGGACTATAAACATGTACTTAATACAATTGTTGATATAGTATTATCAATTCATTGGTGAAAAGATATGAATCGAAGAATGACCTAATTATTCTCTGTTATCAAACACGTAAAAAAAAAGGCTGAGGAGGGAGCGAGCGTAGGAATATTGATATTTTTTATTTGCATTTCGGGGGGAAAGTGACTTTCTAATGATATTTTGACGTTATTTTTGATTTCTTTAACGTATGACATACACAACTTTACTCTTATCATGAACAATAATGTTGTATCTACTTATCATGATGGAATTATTTTGGTCGGACCAATATGTGTGAGCTGCCGCTGAATACAGTTATATATCTTGCAAAGATAGTATGCATTGATCGAATATATAGAAAATGAGCAACACATAACACTGCTATAGTATTTTAGAAAAATGCATTTTTCATTGAAATATATAGTGGGAAAATGAAATGATTATGACTCACTTATGGCCAGGTACTGTAAGAAGGATAACTCTTGTTTTAGTTGGGAAGATGCATACTATCACAAATATTTGATAAATTTTACTTGTTTTCATGTCGTTTCCTCACCCATTGAACTAACCAAGTACTTTAAGACATTTTTAGCTCACCAGAGCTGAAAACTCAGTGACAAACTTTTACTCATACTCATATGGTAGTATCCTCAGGTGGTATAGATAAGTTTGTTTAAAGACGTACAACACACTGGGGGAGATAACTCTTGCAATTTCAACTGAACGTTTGACGTGACGTCAAATTTAACGTCAAAAAAGAAGCGTCAAAATGACGAGTAAAACGATCCCGATGTATATCAATCATAAAAAAAAAAAATGGGATATGATGTGGCTTGGTTGTGATCATGAGTACCATACTTAATCCATAAGTATTTTTTTAATTAATCGATTAAACTCCGTAAAAAGCAAGACATAAAATACCATCCCTTAATGTTTATTTATTTCATATACATTAAATTGTATTCTTGATCAAAGCGCAGCATTTTTTTTTAATTCTGAAAATCTTACTTTACATTGCGTCATTATGTACAATTGGCTATATAACATTCCGATTAATTATGGCCTTTATTATTTATGTGCATTTACGATATAAATATTGTTTTTCTTCTTTAATTAAATAAAACAACAATAAACAAACAAACAACTTTTTACAATGTAAAATCGATGTTGTTCTCAGACCCTTGATGATCAAAGAGGAACAACTCTGAAAATGTAGGAGATGTTTGTTTTCCTCCCTTTATTCACGGTTTTCCGCATACACAGAATCAGATACATTTACAGCAAGACCCGATAAATCCGAGAATTGAATACTATAAACCTCATACACACAATGTAAGTATAGTTTAATTTAAAAGAATTATTTACTAGTTCTGAAATTATCTGAATTTATGAATATCCTATTGCAGCAAATCGTTTAACTTTCTGTCACTGTAAACAATGTCGGTTCGCATTTCCTCTAATCAAAACAAAACGTAGCCTACAAGATTTAAAAAAAAAATCAATGTGCGATTTGATATAAATTAAAATAGATGAAGAGTTTAATGTTTGATATTTTGAAGTTAATGTGGACGAATACGGAATTTTCATTTTAACTTTAGAAGCATCGACATTGAAAGAATGCGTACAATATCGTGAGGGGAGTACATGTATGCAAATGTCGATGTATCCCCAGGGCCACGTACTGTCTCGTTTGAAATAATGACATGAAAGAAACTATAATTATTCCATTTGTATCACAGGAGAGTTGAACATACACCATTTTCTTGATAAATAAAATGAAAGAAATAAAATTAAAAATCAACATATTCAACATAACTTGAATTCGTATCCAGGTTTTATGTGGTATGGAATGCATAACGCATACATATATGGGCTAAACACTATAAAATCCTTCAGTAATTTTCCCTGATACATATAAAACCAGTAGTCAATATTTATTCTGCATTGAAATGAATTTAAAAACTAATGCATACCTCCGGGATTCAAATGACGAAATACTAGTATATCTGCACTGTAAACGACGTTTCGTCAAACGCTAATGGTCTACGACGCAAAATAAGGAAGGGGTGGGGGTGGTAGGGGTATTCAAAAATTGCTTTAAAATCTACATTTAAATATGCTTTACATATGAGAACTTTTAAATATGTAACTTAATATATTTTTTAAGCAACAGCAATATTCCAATTTGATTTTTTTAAAATGTGTATTTGTAGATTCATAGCAAAGTGATCGACCCCCGTCTGAAAGACGCGCGGGAACGTGATTTATTGAGAAAGGGGGAGGGGGTAATTTTCCGCTATTAAATCAAAACTGGTCGTACAAAAATTATACAAAAAATTATGAAGATTATTTTTACTACCAGCTACCTAAAGAAAGTTTTTTACCAAAATTAAACGACAGGTTTTTTCACAAAAAAAATTTGAATTTGAAAAATACGCAATTTTCAAGGCTTAGATAATTCATAGTTTTTCAGTTTAAGGTCTTTAGAAATTAATTTGATGATATGTATATCAAAAAGATGACCATGTTTTTGTGTTAAATGGTTAAAGGAATAAGTCAATGAAATTTGACAGTTATATCTATCCTGGCTTTTTTGAAAATCAAGGTTTAAGTAGTTAATTGATTAAAGATTTTCTCTCCTTGTGAACAACTAAAGGGGGGTAACTTTTGGAATTTTCTGTCCAAAAACCACTCGAACGATTTTGTCCAAAATTTGCATACATGCAGTAGATATAGTCATGTACTAAATATACGAAAATAACGAAAATTAAACGACAGGAATTTTTTGGGGTAGGTGTGTTGTACATCCTTAAATGATGACTTGTGGGGGTAGGGAGGGGCCACAATGGGAGATTAAATTTTTACAAATGAATACAAAAGAAAAAATTCATTTAAAAATCTGCTGCTCAGCAACAGCAAAGCTATTTGCTATATTGATATGGAAACATATGTATGTAGTTTCAACCCCCTCCCCCCACCCCAACCTCCTACCCACCCTCACCCTGCAAACTTTTCAATACTGAACTGATTTGTACAATTTTCTGGCCAATGTACTTACATAAGCAATGTAACCCATGAGCCTCTTGTTTTCTCATAGACAACAGACCCTTAGATTGCTTTAATGGGGCATAAAAATGCCTCCATATTTGTTCAATTGCTAGGTGTAGCAATATAAAGACATGTGAAGTCAGGGATTAATGTTATAGTGATCTATAGTAACTCAATAATGGGCCGGCCCATCTTCAAAAATTACCAGTAGTTTGATTGCTCTCTCCTGACCAACTGGCTGAAAATGGCCCAACTCATGAGACAATTATTTTGTAAGATTTCCGAAAAATAGATTTTGAAAATTCAACATTTTACAAAAAAAAGATATTATTTTTAACACTCATATTAAAGTTGGTCCAACTTTTTTTACGGAAGAGGGGGGGAGGGCAATAGCAGGAGGGTCAAGGTTTTTTTTTTTTTGGGGGGGGGGGGGGGGGCTGATGTTCAGTTGCACTGAAGGAAGGTCAAAGGTGAAGAATATATCAAAGTTACTTTTTAGCTGTACTAGACAGGGAGCAGTAAAGAGCTTATGCCATAGTAAGGTTACAATCTTCCATCTGTCAGTCTAGCTGTCTCTTTGTCAGATGTCTTAAATAATTTTCAAAACACTACTCTTTCAGTTTTTTTCTGATTTCAGTACATTTGGCAGACAAGTAGACTACACTAACATACATAATTTAGTGCATCAAAAGTTTCTTTTAAATTGATTACTTGTTTTATGTGTATTATACATGAATTCCAAAGAGAGGTTCAGATTTAATTACCGGTAAAGGTTTTGATTTTATGTGGCTTGTTTTAAATTGTGTAGGAAATAAAAAACACATTTTTTAAAGTTTAATCTAGCAATATGCTCTATGCAGCAGCTAGAGTATTTTACAGAAAGAAGCCCGATTGATCCATTGGACAGCATGATGTATTTATAAATTATTTCTGTCAGTGAAAAGACCCATTCTTATTATATTTATATTCATTTCCTTATGATTGATGTGACATGAAGTTATTGGCATTAACTTGTTTTCCCTCTCCTCCCAAAACAACCATATGTTTTATAGGCCTGAGCTCATCATCCGACACATTTTAAGGCATGTGTGGTGATGTGAAATAATGGGGAGTGCATGAACCACTTTGCTTGTTATTATTCAGACTAAAAGAAAAGCATGGAATGCCAAGCTAGTGTAGATCTTGGCAAACAAAGAAGTTCTATCAACCGATAATAGGAAAAACGCACAACAATGTGGAATGGCTTCTCTCATACTAATGTAGAAAAAGCTAATGTTGAAAAGAATTTGACTGTTGGCAAACACATACTGAAAATTGCTTCCTCAAAGAAAACTGATACACATAAGTAATGTCGATGAGTGAACATTATCAGATAAAGGGCCACATCAGCAGTTTCTAGAGCTAATTCTTACTTTGATTCTTATAAGAAGGCTAATCATTTATAATAATGTGTCTGTCTTTTCATATTGTTGACTTAATTTTTTTTTCTGTGGTTGGTTAAGTGTTAAGCATGATTATTTCATTATCCACTAACAGTTTCAAACACCACATTAATGAGGATGTTCTATTAAATCCCTTACAGGTGAAAAAGGAGAGGGTTATGGTTTCTTTATCATCTGTCCATCCTTCTGTGACATACAACAATCTGTCCGACTCAGCTTAATATCAATATGCAATATTCTCAAGAATGCTTGTATTAAATGTAGGCATTAGATAGAATAGAAACAAGGCTTTCTAGTATTAAGCATTTTCTGAAGTGTCACACACAATTATCTAAGATACATGTAATTTATATTTAAATAACATCAAAGATACATACATGTGCCCGGGGTTAGAAATTGAATAAACTAATAAACTGTTCAAAAAGAGAATTCCTATATCAAGCACCTGTCAGTATGCAGGTCAGGGACAGAAAATCCAGTTACAGATAAGCAAAATGTAATTGGGGCCAAACTTATTGACTCACCTACAACAGTTTTGCCACCACATGTATACTTGTCAGTACATTATAATTTTTTTTCTTTGCAGGCCGCAGACAAGTTAGCTGGATCCAATTCCATGGTATAGTGAAATTCTTATTTTTATCAACTCCTCAGTTAGTGAAATGTGAAGACATTTTGCATGTACAGTTTTAATGATAATGTTCACAAGATTCTTTAATTTATTCTTTACCATATTGTTTTACCATTTTCATCATGTTTATGTGTACAAGTTTGTAAAATCTGGTGGCAACAAATTTTTGTATGCATGTATCGTAATTCATGATTCTAGTAATGTGTGGTAGAGAACAATTGTCAAAAAATGCTTTATTCATATGAATTTCATATTCATTCACCAAAATATTAGTCAATAACACTGCAATTATTATTTTAAAAATTTTTAATTTTTACTGAAATATTAATCAATAAATTGTAATTTTTAGAAGGCATTGTAATTTGATTCTTCAAACGTTTACTATGGTACCACATAATTTATTTTACAGTAAGTGACACTGGGAAAACATTTATTTGTTTTTCCAACACTTACATGTGTCGTATACTGATTTTTATTGTATAGTTGTGTACTTATTTTAATTTTCAAATAAAAATCAGGAAACGACACAGGTACAACTGTAAACCCTGCAACTAGATTGTAAAGAATTCAACTGACCAGGAACAAAGATAATCAAATAAATATCAAATACATTCTTTACAAAACATGGCAGTTTTACGACTCTTTTCATCTTTCTAAAAATTGTATCAAAATAAAAAAAAACTTTAACAAAATAATTGAATATTATATACCAGGTAATAATAACAGATAAAAATATTAAATGTGAGAAATAATCGAATAAATTTTCTTCAGAAATGTATTTTAATTGATAAATGTAATTTCATCAGTGTTATTTGTTGTTTTGAATTTTAAAAATTAAAATTAATTAAGTGTAATAAAATCTAAATATATATATGTACATGTATGTCAAAAGTGGTAACTTTTGTTTCATGATACATGTACTATGCCAGGCATGTATCAGACTTGGTAGAACACAGGCATTGTAAATGTCTATTACATGTCTCAGCTGTTGTTTTGGTGTTCAAGTTAGAAATCATAATAAGCTTCAGATGCAATATGTCAGAAGTACTTGCTTGCACTATCAAAGTTAATGAAAGATGAAAGGTTTTGTGATAAGAGCTATAAGAATTATGACAGTTAGGCAATGTATTTATGTGTCAATGCACTATTACAGAGAATGGCAACTTATTTTTTAATTATGATTTTGAAAAGAAATCTAGTCTACTAGTCTCAAGCAGTAAAACGCTTTCAATTACATTTGCAGGACATGGCTTGAACAAAGGTATTTTGGTGATTGGGGTTTCTTTTTTTGGTTATATTTTTTATTCAAAATTAAAATTCACAAAGATTTGATTTATATATGTAATGATGAAACTAATGAAAATGCTATTCATATACTGTGTTGTCAATGCCCCAATCTACAATCCACAATGACCAGTGTAACTTCCCTTTCAGAAGCTGTTGTGCAATATGGAAAACAATGTACCCCTCAATGATTTAGTATTCTCTCCACAAACGCCGATACATATACATGGTTTGTAAATATTTGTCAATGATATATCTTAAATAAATGATTAAAAGTCTTTTTTGAGTTCTTGTTTTTCAGGGCTATAGGGAAACTGACCTTAACAGATAAAAACTCATTTAAGAAAATTTTGGAACGTTGCTTCCACTTAAAAAAAGTGAAACAGTTTATAAATTTTATGCAAAGCAGCCCAAGCTCTATGTTATTGTTCTTAACATATTTTTACTTGTAACTAAAATGCATAGTTCATTATTTTATGAATTAAATCCAGGCATGTGCACTCAAAAAATCTATATAACTTATTCATACAGTATACTGTTTTGTCCTAAATTTTTCAATGTTCATCCTCTTGTTTTAAACCTGTAATAACTGATATAAAATTTTGCTTTAATGATAATGATTTTTCAAATTAAAACAAATCTTTAAAGTTATGATTTATACACTGGTATTATCTTGTAGCACACCATGTTCTCCGCGGTATGAACGCAGTGAACCACAGTATGCCACTACAATGAAACGCGAAGGTTACATTTAGAACTGTGCATTGTCTACTTGAAAACTGTTTTTTTTTTTAATTTATCACAATTATCATTATTTTGTTATTTTTGGTCTGCATGATTTCCTGACATGCACTTCGCCCGCGTAGCGCTGTGGTTAGATTGATTGATTGTATATTGTTTTTGTCCCTCTTGAGAATTTTTCACTTATATGGAGACGCCATCACTTGCCGTAGGAGAGCTACAAATTTTGTCCTATACTCGGTACTCAGGGCAGTCAGGGCCATTGAGCAAGCAGGGATCTTTTTCGAGCCGGTAACCTACTGCGACACGCGGAACCTCGGTTTATAAGGTCTCATCGAAGGACCGGTTCCCACGTCTCACAGTGGGATTCGAACCCGCGTCTTAAGGATCGACTGAGTGACACGGTGGTGAGAGCATTTGCTCTAGAGTCGCAATGTAGGAGATGATCCTTACGTCGCGTGTTCGAATTGAATTCCACTGTGGGACGTGATGACCAGTCCTTCGTATGCCCCGTGTCGCAGTTGTTGCAGGCACGAAAAAAGATTCCTCACCGCTGAATGGCCCTGAGTAAGTCAAAATTTGCAGCTCTCCACCGGCAAATGGTGGCGTCTTCATATGAATGAATCACTTCTCGAGAGGGACATTAAACAACAAACAAACAAACAAGAATTACACCAACAATTGTGATATCGGTACATGTAAGTTCTAGCGATTTGCAGAAGAATTACGCAGGGAAAACAATCCTCTCTTTTCAATATGAGAAAATTATTGAATTAATTCAATGACGAGTTCTTGCTAAAAACGTAGGGACGTTTACATGACATCTGACTTTATAATTACATGCGTGCGCGGAACCAGAGGGGGATGGGGGGATCAGGACCCCCCTGGAATTTGCAAGTTATTAAATTTATATACTAAAGCAAGAAAGAAGTGACCTTGGAGCCCCTTGGAAAACGCAAACCCCCCTCGTGAACGCGAATTTGTATTAAATTGGTTTGAAAAGTCAAAGGTTTGAAGCAGTAGAAGTCATCGACCCCCCCCCCCCAAAAAAAAAAAAGGTTTTTTTACGTTTGGACGAGTTAACGGGTTTTTTTAAATTTTATTTTATTTTTTTATTTTTTATTTTTTTTTGCTTGCGAAGAAATTTCTGGCTTGGATTTTTTTTTTTTTGGACTGTGGTGGACTCCCCCTGGAAAAATTTTTAGATCCGCGCCTGGCATGAAACACTGCGTTTCCAACAACCTTTTTCTACAGTACTTAGAGATCGAAATTCAGACTGGACTCAGCCTTTGTTATCTTACTTTCGCTGTAGGAGAGAAGGGTAAGGGCAGTGACACCTAAGTTTGTGGTAAGTGACCTTCAGCAACATTGCTCCGTCCTTCTGGATGTCTGAGGAGTTGATTAATATCAAGGCAGACGTGGGCTACAGTTAAGAAAGATTCCAGGAAATATTTATTCCTGATAACATAGAAAGATGGGGAGATCAGTGATGTTTATGTTTATTCTGTGCTGTCAGATTAGATTCATAATTAAGATAAAAAGGAGCATATGTACAACGCATACTAATACATGGTTTTATATCGAAGGAGAGAGATTATACAGATATTGAAAAAAAAATACGTTTGACAGCTGATACCTTGTGGCTAAATATCCCGATTTCCACCATCTATAAGTGTAGATTAGCCGTTTCAAAAATATGACACTTTTGTATTCTATGAATTTGTTTAATAAGGAGATCATTTCATTTGAATTTTTTTTTTATATAACAGTATATTAAAACATGAATATCCTGTACAACTGCCTAGTAAAAATATCACAAACTTTAAATAAATTCCTTTAGTTCACTCAATGTTTATTACAAAGAAATGTTACTTGATTGCCAGTTTTTCAATAGGAATGATCCTTTCGTTGCGAACCTCCACACTCTTAGGGGCAGGTGCTTCAATACATAGGACGCCATCTCCGGACAACGTGGAAGTGACCTTCATGGGGTCAATGTTTTCCGGAAGTGTGTAGGACTTGGTGAATTCTCTGTGGATTTTCTTTCCAGGTGATTCCTCCACGTGTTTAGCTTGTACTGTTAAGTTCCGGTCTACTGTCTTTACCGTGATTTCTTCCGGTTTAAACTGACTGCAGTCGAATTTCAGATTCAATTTCTTATTTCCGGAAATATCTTCAATGAATGGTTTCTCTACTTTTAACATGCTTGAACCAAACCCTGCAAAAGGATCCTTTCCAAAGAAGTCCTTATCCTTCCCAAAAAAGTCTTTTCCAAAAGGGTCTTTGTCAAACCCAGCACCAAAGTCCAGAGGGGTCAACTGAAACATCTCTTTTCTGATCTGTTCCAATTCCTTATCAAAATCCTCAAAACTTTCATTAAAAATGCCTTTGAACTTTGGAAAAAGTGATTTTTGTCTATCAAAAAATCCCCAATCAAAATAATCTACTGGGACTAAGCGCGACATGATTTTTTCGGTAACAACTTATCGATTCTGAACGCTTCCGATTCTGCCTCCGTATCTATGAGAGTTGGCAGGTTTTTATACACGCGCAGGTTACTATGTATTCCGGTTCTTGCGAGAATCTATCTATAAATAAAACAAACATTAAACGTTCAGAAATGCTGCGCAAGTTCCAGAATCGAAGGATCGTATTTTAGTAATGATACAATTGTGCAAGAATTCATCACGTAATTTGGAAGTTTTTAGAGAAACATGTTTGTACAATGAGTCGGTCATCAACATCCAGCAAGAAAAGGGACATGTTAAACTGGGCAGATGGGGGTGTACTTTTATTAGATTAAGGCATGAAGATTGAATAACTGTTTTATTTGCAATTTTGAATGTATTTGTTGAATTTAATTTTTTTAAAGAATACCGGTATGATTTTTAACTTAAAATTTACACTATGAAAGCAACATGTACATGGACTTCAAATTTTACTTTCAATTTGAAGTTTTATTATAATTAAAATTTCTTTTAAAAATTTCGGAATTTCTTCGAATGTGTTTAATTAGTTATCATGATTTCATACATTGTTCGCCAAAAAGTAAAAACATCCTAGTGTTTGAAACGTGCACATGCAAAATCGATAATCGTCTTTTTTATGATAAAAATGCAGTAACTAATACAGCTTTAAACGAATCCATAAAGACTGTGTACACTTAGAATTCATTAAAGCACATAAGTATTAATAGTTATTTAGTACATTATAATGTTTGCCATGTTACAGTCCGTTTTTGGTTTCCGGAATCGGACACTCCGTCCAGGCGCACGTGTTTCTTTCACAAAGACTACCACTGGAACACTTAGAGATCGGGAATGTACTAGCTGTTTGTCCACTGATGCTTAGACTTCTGTAAAAAAAAATGATGCTTGTAAATTGTAGAGTAATTTTAATTAAGTGAAAAAGTTTTACAAAGAAATACACTGAAAGTTGTTAATGCTGTATCTCTTTGTTAACAGTAATGTATACTGCCATTAATGTCATGTGATATTAAAGGAAAGGCTGTATAATAGTTTTTAGCTCACCTACGCCGAAGGCTCAAGTGAGATTTCTGATCACATTTTGTCCGGCGTCCGTCTGTCTGTCTGTAAACTTTTCACACTTTTGACTTCTTCTCAAGAACTGCTGGGCCAATTTCAACCAAACGAAAAAGCATCCTTGGGTGAAGGGGAGTTTACATTGTTAAAATGAAGGGTCAAGTCCCCTCACAAGGAGAGATAATCAAGAAAAGACAAAAATAGGGTGGGGTCATTGTAAAAAATCTTCTTCTCAAAAACCACTGGGCCAGGAAAGCTGAAACTTATGTCGAAGCTTCCTTGGGTAGTGTAGATATTAAATTGTTAAAATCATGACCCCCGGGGGTAGGGCGGGGCCACAATACGGAATCCAAGTTTTACATAAAAATATATAGAACAAATCTTTTAGGAATCTTCTCAAAAACCACCGGGCCAGGAAAGCTGAATCTTATGTGGAAGCATCCTGGGGTATTATGTAGATTGTAAAGTATTAAAATCATGAAAGGGAAGGGGGTAAGGGGTTACGATAGGTATAGCAAGACGGGAAATCTGGTCAAGAACTGCATCATCCAATTTACTCAGGTGAGCGATGTGGCCCATGGGCCTCTTGTTATAATTAAATTGTTTTACAAAGCAATCGGATATTTTTATCTCCAAGTATATATAAAAGCTATAGGATATAAAGTTACATAGGATAAAACATACATATGCTCTTACTGCGAGTATTACATGTATCAATTTTTTGTACCTCAGATGGTGGTCCATGTGAGCTTTCTCTATCCTTTTTTCTTTTTGCTCGTCTGTTTTGGAACCAATTTTTCATCTGGTTTTCTGTGAGACAGAGTATTTCCGCTAGTTCATACCGTCTCGAGCGAGTGATGTATTCGGTGCGACTGTACTCGATTTCCAGTTTGACCGTCTGCTCGCTAGAGAACGTCGTTCTTTGTCGTCTGGGTCTATTCTCTCGTCTCCTTCGTCTGTGCACTACAAAGAATTAGATATGATGGTAATTGATAAATTTACACCGGTTTTCTCTTATGAATTACAAGACTAAGGGGTGAAGTTAAACTTATAAAAGACTGACTTTCTTTTAAATATGCAAAAAATAGCAGTTGCGTCCTATTTCATTACTATATATCCAGAAACATATTTGTGGACTCCTTTGTATCGTTTGTATTAATCTGAGTGTGCAGGTCACTTTTAGTTAATATGAGTACAAAAAACAAAAATTCTAATTTACACTAAAGCAATGGTTAACATATGTTATATGCTGTACCGCCTTTGCTTTTGTTTTGTTGATTTCTTCCATGTCTTCTAGACCCTTTTCTTACGCTTACAATATTGTATGTACAGTATAGTTATAAGTACATGACACTTTAACATCGTTATTCTTTTCTGTAAACTATTCCAAAAGCAATATACGAAAGCATGACTTACTAAGTGCTATTCCTCACATTCTTCCTTAGTTTTGTAGTTAAACCTTTATCTCACACTAACTTACTTAGTCCAGCAAACACGGGTGCAAATGCAGGCAAACAGTGTCCAAGAGAAGTCGTTTCGATCCCTTTAGTCATTTTACTTTCACTTTTAGAAAAATTGTCATCCAAGTTGTTTGAAACATTTTCGGATTTTGTCAGACGATATCCTGTTTCCCACCATCCTCTATTCTTTAAATCTTCCAAAGTTCTTTGGAATTCATCACTGTTTCGTTTAAAACAATTTCTCCAATTCTGAAATGCCGAAAATTCTCCCCCAAACGAGGGAAAGGTTGATGAATACATACTTGAAAAAATACCCTCATTGCTTAGATCAAGATTTTTGCAGTCTGTATCATTTTGCCCCTCCATGACGACTGAGGATATTTCAGCAAAGACAGTCCCAATTATAAGATGATTAATTAGGACACCGTTATATCGTGACCTTTTCGTTTTTCTCTCCAATCACTAATTTGTGAGAATGCAAAATCTGTCGACTATACATAGAATTATCATCACCCAGAGAACAGCTGCTTCGTTCCTTAAACAAACGAACCAATTAACGAGAGATTTCAATTTGATGATCATTTAATTAAAATAAAGAGATTTTCTACACGAAAAATGGTAATTGTTAATGTTGCCACGGAATTCAGCGATCGCTCCAAGAAAACGAATTTCATTTCCGCTGAGGAGATCTAGATTACTCTAAACCCGGTACACGAAACGAGCAATGTACTTACGAAGGACTATGCTATTCAAGTCCTGAAAATAGTCAACCATCTATGTTAAAACATTAATATTTAATTGTTTTCCTTATCAATTACAATCATTGTTATCTTTAGGACGATCAAGCATCAATATTAATTGGTAAATGAGCAAGAACAGCTATATGCAGCTGGTTTCGACCATACAGCTTATTGCTAAATTTCGTGATCTTTTTAAATTGGTAAAAGAATATCATAACTTTACAAACAGGTTAAGACAGCTAATATCCGTTCTGAATAATGATACACATTTGTGTGACCACAAATCTGAACTGGTCATATTCAAAACATCTGAAAAAAACATAATTAGAGTTTAAATATTTTTTATTCACAAAGCACTGCAGTGATATATGACATGTCAAATCATTCAATATCCAATCTTTTCCATTTGTTATGTAAAAATTATTGATTTACATTGTGTTATATTTCATGTGCATATTTTTTTCTATTTGCATTCTACAATTTTTCATTTGTTGTTTTTCCTATCTGAGAAATTATGTAATGGAAAATAAAAATCAATGAATTATAAAATCGAAACGGGAAATTATTAACTACAAACGATAAATTCTAGAATAAAAATAGAATATTGTACAATAAAAATGGAATTTCAAAGTTAAATAATAAAAGAAAATCGTGAATTATTATACAACATGTACAAGAACTTATGATGCATAATACAAATGTAAATTATTGAAAACACATAAAAAGTAAAATAATGCAAGTTGAAAATTATGTAGTACAAAATTGACAATTATATAATAAAAATAGAAATAAAAAAATCATACAATTCAATGAAAAAATATACCAAAAAAATTGGAAAATTATAGAATACGAATGATTAATGATGAAATACAATAGTCAGTATAATTATATAATATAAATGAAAAAAAAAATATTGAATACAAATTTAAAATATGCAATAACAATTATATAATATCAATAGATAATTTTACAATACAAATGAAAATAAATTTAAAAAATAGTTTTGATATGTTTGACATGCTGTGGAATTTTTGAGCCACAAATATGTTCCTTCAATAATCTCATTTGTAACAGTTTATGACGGTCAATGGAAACCACATGAAAATAGCCACTCACTCCTGGAC